CGCGGTGGTTTTTTTAAAAAAAAAAAGCAAGAAAAAAAAAAAAAAAAAAACTGCATGAACTTACTGGTGAGGTCGAAACACACAAGTCCCCATCTATGGTTAGATCTGAATCCCGGTGGCTGCTCGATTCAAATCAAAGAGTCTAGAAGGATACTCATCCAAACATCCACCACGCATTCTATGATTTAGGGTGAACTAAATTACAGGCTGTAAGGACTATTTTGCACACGAGAATCCACCACCAGAGAGCCCTGGGTCCCTAAAGTTGAAAGCATCAAAGGTAGGCAGTGTGCGTTTTTTTTTTTCCCAAGGCAAGGAAGTGAAAACGTATGCAAAACATTGCACGTCTACCTTTTATAATTAATTTCCCAATGCCTCACCTATACGTATTTTAATAATTCCTGATTTATAAGATGGTATCTATAATAAAATTTTCTATTTTCCAATAAATGAAAAGAAGGCAGGTTCATTCTGACAACAGAGTGTCACACAATATCTGCTTGTCAGGCCCCAATTTTTACTTCTTACATGTAAGTTAAAGGCTAAGGAATTTATAATGCTGCCTGTGAAGGGAACCACTTTTCATACACAAATGTGATCTTTTTTTTTTTTTTTCAAAGGGTAATACAACAGTACATTTACATAAACTAATCCAAACAATCTATGTATTTGACAATGGCAAACCTCACACAGACGGCCTATTGTTGGTTTACATCTTGGAGTTCTTTATATTGGCTTGTAGCGCTGCTCTAGCTGTCAAAGGTTTGACTTGGACTCTAAATAAATGGTTATAGAAGTGCTGTGCGGCGATATTGGACTTCTTTGCAAAAGAAAACCTGCTGTGTATGAATTCAAAAGCTATTAATTTTTCAGTCAAAAATATTCGTGCCTATTTCTTTTAATAAAGAAATACTGTGCTGAGCTACTAAGAGATAATGTTGACTAGTGGTAGAGAATTTTCAATAGAGCAGTTAAAAATAAATTTAGTAGGAGGTCCCCTTCAAAGTTATAATTTTCTAGAATGTAAAACATTTTTTTTTTTTTTAAATACTAATCAAGACAAAACCTTCCTTCCCTGTTCACTTCCCCCATGGCTGCGAGTCCCTGTTTACTGACTGCTTCATGCCAGTCCACATAGGCACTCCCAAAGGTCCTTTTGTGGCCTACATGGGCTGACACATAGGGTGATTCTTTCCAGCACCCAGTCCTGCCATTTGCCCAGCACCCTGTGGGGTTTTGCTCTGCCTTCTCTCTCTCGCTCTCTCTTTTTTTTTTTTGGAGAGGTTTTTGCTATAGGGCGCATGCGCTCGCCAGACAGACAGAGAGAGACAGAGAGACAGAAAGCGAGAAATCACCCCCCGGGAGGATGGCCACGCCGCAATCCCTTCTCCTCCATTCTCCTCTTGGGATCTTGGGCATGCACGCACACGCACCCGGCGTGAGTTTAAGCCACCGGCTCCGGGACGTGAACCACGGTCGACTACGTGGGAGTCCAGTGAAAAAGCCATTAAGTTAAATGCTGATCCCTTGCTCTGCTTTCTCTTTAGAGGTATCCCATGATCCCAAACAAGGCCATTCCTAGAGTGTTGAGTCCGAGTCTCACTCTCTCTTGGTTGTTTTTAATCCACAGAGGGAGGAAGAGATCATTCCATTCTCTCCCTTGTTTCAAGGTCTGAAGACCCAAACCCTTCCTCATGGAGAAGGGTTACTCTTTCACTAACACCATCTGAAGACTTGCAGAGAATTAGAAGGCAGTCAGTACTCTTTGCAATTAGCCAAGCCAATTTCGGATGTCTGCCAAGTCATCGATCTGCTTAGCTGGGTGCCTGTTGCTTCCCAGGGTCCCCCTTAATAGGAGAGGTTGGAAGGAAGAGCCCTGTTGGCCACTGGTTCCAATAGGAATGGCCTGGTTCTTTTTCTCCTTCCTTTCTGGAAGCCTACACATCCAGTCTTACAGCCATTTGCTGTAAAAATATGTGGAAACTAAGGACTCTTTCCTAGTAAAAATGGATGCACGACGTGTTTAATGATTTTATGTCCTATATCTCAGTAATGTGTTCTGTTTCAGACATTAATTTTGTCTGCCAACTGCATTCTGGCAGGCTACCATATTTGCTGGGTTAATAGTCTGACTCCGTTTTATTTCTATCACCATAAATCATACATATATGGGTGTATGTTTGCTTTATTTATAGAAAAAAATCAGTCAAAACAGATAAACCAATACTTTGCCATTACGCTGCATCATTGCATATTGATTAAAATTGCTGGTACTAACTATAGATTGTCAACGCTCAATTAATTTTCACACAGTGACTCCAAGCAAAATCAAATAAAGGCAGTGTACCTTTAAATTTTACAAATCTTAAAAATCAAGAAGCAGAGCACTGTCTCCATGTCGAATAATCAGTTAAAGCTACTAGGAGACTTTTAGAACTATAAGTACGTGAGAGATGCAACTGATAAAGGGATCAATTTGTTCTAAGAATGAGGCCCAAGACAGGATTTGGGGTTCAGTATCAAAATTGAAGAATGGTTATCAAACTGCCTGTGCTGGAATGATATCCTTCAAGAGAACAAGGCAAGGAAGAGTGGATCCCTAAAAATTAAACATTATTTCAATGTACTGAATTTGATCTCCTGTGAAGGACTTTCACTTTCAACTCCTAGTAACCATTAGATACCCTCCATAACATAGCTGCTCAGTAACTCTTCCGACAGTCAATGTTTCCTATTTCTTACCTCTGATAGAATTCAACTGGACTCTTTCTTGCTCCCCTTCTCATACCCAACTGTGTTACCATTTACCCAGGCTGAAATGGCTCTTCTACTCGCACGGTCTCGCTTACCTTCTCTGCTTTCCTTTTCTTTTTCCAGTGAGATCTCATAAAGTATTAGGTTGTCGGAAAAGTCATGACATATTTTTCCACGCATATACGTGTCATGACTTTCCTGACAACCCAATACTTCGGGACCTTGGTTTAACACCAATCATCCTGTCTCCAAGAAGAGCCAGTTGCTTGGGCTTCACAGGTAAGGACCGTGTTGGAATCTTCCCGTATCTCCCCAGATGTCGAGCACACTGCCTTCTTCATAGTAAATAACCAGTAACAGTTGGTGAACTAAAGGCCTTCAACACTCACATCTACACAGGGAGGCTGGGCTTCTTGCTATGCTCAGGGTAGGGAAACAGAAAAGAAACACAGTACTTATGTTTTGCTTTCTGCCCTCGGTGTGGATGGGTACTTACGGGCTGAGGGGCGGCTTTGGGTTCGGTAGACTTCACATGCAGATGGGTCATCATGGCTTGCAGGCGCTCTTTGTCTTTTGCAAGCTAGTAGAAAGAAAATGCTTTGTTATTTCTCTGAATAGACGCATGGCCATTTTACCACCACAAATGATATATATTCCCAATTAAACTATGGCAACAAAGCACATGACAATCATTTTCATTGCTTAAATCGTTTTTGAAATCTATGCAACCATTGCCAAGTATCTCTAAGAACCTGGAGGTGTCGGTGTGAGATTTCTCAACACAAGATGCATTAGACTTTAACTGGGAAGCTCTAGACCTGCTGGCACCAAGGAGTCCAAGTAACACAGACAGCTAAAAGACAAACGTGAATCATGCCTATTAACCAACCTTATTCATGAGGAAGCAAAAGGAAAATGAGCTAGGTAGGTAAAACTCATAAATTCATCTGTTGTGGTTGTGGAAAAAACTCCTAGACAGATGGATACATTTATGCAAAGTCGGCTTCATCTTTCTTAACTGGTAGGAACAGATTAAGACAGTGCTGGCAAGTGACAGCAGCAGGGCAGGAGAAGGCCTACGAGGGTTGACAGGTTCCCATTTTCGAGTGAACGTGAAATAAACTTAGTTCATCGGGGTTTGAGTACCTGCTATGTGCTAGTCTCATCTTAATAAACTAAGTCTCCCCGTTCTAGAAAAAAAATGAAGTCCCAGGAGTTTCGAATTGGACGTACACAGCAGGCGTTCAAACAGACTGTCTGGATGGTATACTCTTTACTGCTCGCTTTGGAGTGTTTTGATGATGATAATTTTGACAGTTCAAGAACATCAGGCACAGGAGACGTATAACAATCACTCCTGTAGAAGAAATGGGAGACTCATCCCAAAGAATAAAGGTACGGTTAAAAGAACAGCTGTGCCACTTGTTGAAAATGTGTAAGACATTAGCAGTGGTGACAATGAGCCTGAGACCCCGCAAGTGTGCCCGAGTACTACTACATCCGGTTTTCTTTCAAAACTTCCACAGACCATTTGTCCAAAACGATGCCTTAGAATTGGGGAAGGATGCATTCCTTCTCTGTCACATACTTAACCTTAAATTCTTTTTTTTAAAAAAAAAAAATCTCTGTACGTCGACAGTTATCCTAAAACATCAATCAAATATGCTTTGCACTTTAAAAGCCAGTCATTTTGCAAAGAGGGAGAGGTTCAGGAATTAGGGCAAGGCAGAGAAAAGGGAAAGGGGACCAGAAAAGAAAGAGCTTGCAGCTTATTCTGTGTGACTCAGTCTCAAGCCATATCACATTTTTTTTTTCTTTCTATTCCCTCGTGGTGAAGGGAAGAATAAATTAAGAGGAAGAAAGAAAGATTAAAAAAAAAAAGGCCTTCCAGTGTTAGCATTTATCTTTCAACAAACAGGAAATGAAAATGATACCATATTAGGAGCCACTTTATGTTCTTCATCCTCTGTTCTTTAGTAAGTTATTGAACAGCCTAACTACAAGATTCTCTGAACACATAATGCTAAAGGAATTCAGTTTTCCAAAGTGGCTCAGTGAGAACAATTATAATGTTGGGAATGGCATGTTTATACAAGTGATTATTATTATTTTTTTTATGTAAGTGTCCTAAGTTTTGTGATGTTAAAATGAAAATATTCTTAGATTTAAAGAAAAAAAAATATGTTTTGTTTTAAACGGGATCACCGGGCAAAAGGAATGAGGCTTAGATGTCATTCATTTTCAAGTCAAGAAGTCTGCCATGCTGAAGAAAACCCATGAAGGATGAGAGGTGATATTCACTGAAGAATCTGTTGACTATTAATTGTGACTTCATTTGGGGGTAAACACTGGTGATGTGGCAACTCGGCAGACGCGGTCTGGCAGAAGGAAAAGTCAAGCCCCACGCTTCAAAGATCTCCTCAATCCATCCAAACCCTACACGCTGACCTTGCGCTGGACACTCAGAGGGACTAAGCCGCTTACGCCTAGCAAGAATCCGCACACATGACCGCATCGTAAGCTGGGAGGTCATAACCACGGGGGCCATTTTCCCCTTTTCCTATGTGACTAGTACCTAGAATTCATCAGCCCTTTGGAGCATTATCCAGAAACCTCAATTCTTCCATCCTAGGTCTGCTTTTCTAGAAGAGGGGGGAAGGCTACATAAAAAGGCGAAAATGCAACTTTGTGTTTGTGTTTGGCTAGTGCGAACTGACAGGTCCTATTGTATTCTTGGATGAGCTTGAGATTAATCCTTATAGCTCTAATACACACTGTTTTAACAATTAACAAAAGAAACCTGCCAAATTCACTTCTTGTTTTCCCAGGCAAAAAGGTTACACATTCACACCTACTGAAACCACAATCCTCTTTCGACAGTGGCTGTCTCCCATTTATAACACTCTCTAGTCTTTCCGAAAGCTTTTGCCTTCTTTATTACTTTCTATGCCATCATTCCAGGAGCTCACCGTCCCCATCAATTTTCACGGCATCCTTTCATTATTATAATACGAGAACGCAAACATTTAATATGAGCAGGTATGTTCCAGCATTCCATCTCAGACTGCAAATCCCATAAAAAGCAAAGAAAGAGAGGGGGAGAAATTCAGTCCAAATGTCAACTACAAACTCGGCCATCAGATTTAAAAATGTTTTACAGTTGTGGTAACAAAAGCTTTGCTGGCGGAGGAGGGATGGGTACATGGCACCAGTGGGCTGACAATGGGTTGCATGTCACAAGCTGCATGTGCAGGGTTTTGTGGTTTTATTTTTTTTTTTAAGAATTTTTTAATTGTATTCATCATCATCATTATTATTTTCTATTTTGTTATAGGGCATGTGCACTTGAGAGAGAGAGAGCGAGAGAGAGCGAGAGAGAGCAAGCCACCATGTCTGGGACTTGAACCACGGTTGGCCATGTGGGAGTCCAACCACCATGGTGCCTGATGGTCCCATGGGTTGTATTAATTAGGCATTCTGCTCACCAATTCTGCAGGACGCCGGCAGGGTGACATGGTAAAGGATGTGGGATGGACACCTCAATCACACTGAGCCATGTTCAAATCCTGACTCGGTGATTTCTACACATGCTTTGTGACCCTTTTCAATATTTCACTCTACTTCCAAATATGGATGATCCCCTCTGAGCTCTGGAAGGTGGTTCCGAGGACGACACACGCTCTCGCACATCAAAAGCTAGCACGGCCCCTGCTCTACTTCCAAATATGGAATGATCCCCTCTGAGCTCTGGAAGGTGGTTCTGAGGACGACACATGCTCTCGCACATCAAAAGCTAGCACGGCCCCTTGTGCTCCATGATTGCTCAAAAACAACTCATCTTCTACTTTACATTTTTTTTCTTATTTTATAATTTCTTATTTACGTTTAAATGTCACACATATTTGTGATGTACGATGTGGTCGTTCCTGGCATGCATACAGAGTGTGCGGTAATCAAATCAAGGACACTAACATCTACTTCGTTTTTCACACAGACCCTTACGTTCTTGTGTCTGTTAAATGCCATTTTTCTGGGCCCCTCCCATCTGTCCCGACTAACCAGCTCCCCACACGCTAACCCCTTCCCCGAGACTTTACACGAGGGTGAATGGGACTATGTAGACTTCGACCGGCTGAATGTTCGCTCTCTGGATACACGTAAGGGAGACCCGCCGGGGACTGCGGCCGGCTAAGGGGGAGGAGGACCCAACACGATGTGGTAAAGATGGAACGGGGGGCGCTGGCAAGATGAAGGCTGCTTCTCCCAGAGTTATCGCCTGCTCTGACTAGGTCTTCGCCCCGACCCGGGCAAACGCCCCCCCTGGCTGATATAGGTCATCCCCTTTTCTATTAACCATGGCGTCACATTCGGTTTCAGACAGGCCAGGCCGGGAAAGATCGGAATGTGTGCATCGCTCCAGACCTCCTGATAACCGCCGCAGGCGAGGAGCTCTATCCAGCATCTTCAAAGACAAAAACTGAGAAGATTACACTCATTCTTTCGGCAGAGAAAAGGGAACGGGGTTTGGGGTTCATTTAACACCATTTCGTATGTTGTCAGGAGGACTAATCATTTTCAGGCCAATTTGGTGGTTCTCACTCGTGAGAAACAAAACTCGGGTGAAATAAATGAAGACTTTGCCATGTGTAAAAAGCTGGAATTCTTGAGGACTGATAAGAAGAGGGGACCCAAGGCACTCCTGATTTCAGGGAAGCAGAGCCTGTCAGAGCTACCTCACGTCCTCTAGTTTCACTCTCGCGTCCTTGTAGTTGGGGAAACGGAGGCTCACGGGGAGAAGGAGTCCAAGATCTTTTTTTTTTTCACTATAGGGCGCGTGCGCTCGCCAGACAGAGAGAGACATAGAGACAGAAAGCGAGAAATCACCCCCCAGGGGGGATGGTCACACCGCAATCCCTTCTCCTCCATTCTCCTCTCGGGATCTTGGGCACGCACACGCACCCGGCGTGAGTTTTAAGCCACTGGGTCCGGGACACGAACCGCGGTCGACTACGTGGGAGTCCAGCGACATAGCCATTACGCTAACTGCTGGTTCCCAAGGTGTCCAAGATCTGAAGTAGGGAGGGTGCAGAAGCAAGACCAAAAGCTTATTTCGGTAGTGCTCGGTCTGCGTTTTCAGCACTGCTGCAACCCTAAGAAGGTGATCGGGGACAATAACTGAAACTACAGGTATCCCCAGCCCTCCAGTGCCGAACTACCCTCATACAGAACCTCCACAGGAGGGAGGGGAGGCCAGGGTGAGGGAAGGGAAGGCGAGGGAGGGGAGGCCAGGGTGAGGGAAGGGAAGGTGAGGGAGGGGAGGCCAGAGTGAGGGAAGGGAGGGTGAGGGAGGGGAGGCCAGGGTGAGGGAAGGGAAGGCGAGGGAGGGGAGGACAGGGTGAGG